ATATATATAATGTCATCACTTTGAAATAGGAATGTGAATTTTTTTTAACAAATGAAAATTTCAAACATGTACAAATAATGACACTGAATTTTTTTAGGTCAATATTATATTCTAAATTAAATTAGAAATTGAAAAAGTAAGTGCAAATATACAACATTCAAGTTTCAGATGCATTTTTTATTCAAATTCTGATGGCACATATTTTCTTCCATACGTCATGACTTCACTTATTTTCCATTTTAAAATATGTCGGTTGTACCGCTGCACTTCTCCTAAAAATATCAGAACTCATTTGTTATGTAAATGTTTTATGCATGGACATCTAAAACCAGCAAATCTGCATAAAAATATATATTTGCCAGCGTTCAAAGTGTTTTTTTCCTGTGTTTGCACCCAGACGCTTGGCGAGAACGCTCCGAGTCAGCTGATCCTCTACCACTACCCGGAGCTGAAGGAGGAGAAGGGCGTTGTGCTCATGACAGCAGAGATGGATCCCAAGTTCATTGTAAGCCCGTTATAAAACCTTGTTTTTATTTTAATGTCTTCAGGGACATTTAAAGCATCTCTCTGTTTCTCAGACTGTCCACCAGGCTCAGTGCTTGGCCAATCAGGTACAGCTGTTCTATGGCACACAGAGGCAGGAGACGTACCGATTGGTGGAGATGTTTAACCACCAGCCCGAAGACTTTAAGCACATGTCGGTGATAGCAGAGCTGGAGCAGAGCGGGCTGGGGTCAGCAGGCGCCCCGGGGGGCTCCTAAGATCAGAAGATGACCAGGGACTATTTATCTGTCTCGGACTGAAGCATCATGGTTCCTCTCTCAATGTGGATCCAAACGCGTAAATGGATGTTGTGAGCAGAAAAGGCGCAGGAGCAGCATCTCATGAGCCGACATTTAGTGATTTAGGAAATAATGTGGTGGAATAAATGGAGGCGTTTGACCCACTCTGTTCCAGACTGGATCCAAGAGACTTTGTAAGCACTGAAGCTGAGCTCAAAATTCTACATTTGATATTTAATTAAAAAAAAAAAAATCTCTTGAAGTCTGAGTGTTCTTCTCTTCGGTTATACAGCAGTTAGACATGCATGTCTTCAGCTTCTACCTCATTTTCACAAAAAATGCTATATTCATTAATAACTAAAAGTGTGCTATAATGTGGGTGAGCTTTGTTGCAGCTGGACCTGGCCAGCTCATCGCCATGGATTCCAACTTGACTTCTTTCAAGTATCAGGGGATGTTTGAAGAAAATGTGAGTTGATCCAGAACTGGAACTAATAGCATGTCTTGGACTCAAAACTTACCAGGAAGTGCTCCAAAGACTGGCTGAAAACAAAACTATATAAACTGGAATAGTTGACGGAAAACAAAGATTTTGAATTTACGGAGATGCTGAGGGGTGACATGAAAAGAGCTGTCCGTAAAATAATTTCTTTTAAACATTTCATAGCTGAGGGTGAGGAGTTGGGTCGGTGGCTCAACATTTTTGTCAGAACTCACCATTTTAAAATTCTTTTAATGAATGAAACAAGGTTCATTTTTGTTTTTTTGTTTTTTACCTGTAATTAAACCACTTTCTTAAACAAAGGTAACTTTTCATTTATATAGAACAATTCAATATTGGGTTCAGTTTTCTCACAAGTGAACTATGTGTTTATTTATCAACGTGATGGCATTTTATACATCAAAGACAGTGCACACCCCTACCGGTTAGGGATTGTCAGACGTACAAACATGAATTCAATTTATCATGGCTGACTTTTTTCATACAAAGCTACACAATACCAGATTTAAAAACAAAATACAAAACATTCAAGTGTCTAAAACCAAAAAGACTGAATACTGTCTTCAAAGTTGCTGACAATAATACATTGAATTTATCATAAAGCAAAACAGGCTTTCATTTGGAAACTGTTATAAATTGTACGTTTGGGGTGAATTTTAGACTTTTATAAAACCCAAGCTTTACAAAAGAAAACATAGAAAACGTTTGTGTACTTCATCTGTGCTTACAGAAGACTATCACTATGAAAAACAACTAAAGTGAAACGACACATTTTGACAGGAGAAATTTACCTGAAATTTATGAGGCTGTTTTAGTTAAAATAAAAAAAAAAACAAAACAATGAAAAATATTTTCCCATTAACATCCTCAGCTAAAGAAACTAAAACAGTGACTCGACTGACTTATACATACAAAAAACCCACTGTTGACATTGGAATAGTCGCACCACCTGAAATACTTCACCAGACAAATCACAGCCTCAGTGTGAGTTTATTGTTGTAAAAATAAAGCCACAATATGAACAAAAAAATTCTCACAGTACAACAAAGATGTCTAATCTACAAAAAAATACAAAACTAATAAAAATTCAAGTGCGTATAATCTGAAGAGAAATGATCTAAACAGTTATTACAAAGAGAGTTGAGCTTCACACCATAAAGTCATCCAAACTAAGATGTTTCTCATCGCCATGGTTACGGAATATTCTCAGAGAAACCTGAGCAGTACCACTGAGTAATAATCCAGAGTTCATACATAAATTTCCCTTCTCGTCCAGTTGACTTTCAGGGCATTTTCACCTTTTCAAGGGTATATAAGTGACTGACTTTTCATCACCTGCCAATTTCTTCCTATTGTAAAACAAAATGAAAAAGCTACATTATGCCTTAGAGCAGGGTCAACTCTTACATTAATTTTTATGGTTTGCTCTTAAATTGTTTCCTATTATAATATGGCCTGGTGTGCAAAGTTTGCAATAATGAATCAATGAAGAAATCTGGTTCTTTGAGTAATTATTTACCAAAAGATAAAAAAAAAAATCATCTATAACTCAAGTAAAAAGAGAAAAAGAGTCTCAAAATATTTCTTTCCATACTTCATTTTCTGTTTTCCATGCCCATAGGTGGAAAGTAAAGGTAAAATAAAGCAAATTTAATACTTTTACAAAATGTGTAGCAACTCGAGACATAACTAACTTACTGTGTACCGTTGTCAAAAATGATGTAAAATACTTGAGTCATTTGCAGTCAGAGCAACTTTTTATTGCTTTTTTTTTTTTGTCCGGTCAGTGTGAAAGGGCGCCCCCTGTAGTGTGAACAGAAAATTGGTCTGATTTGCAGCTTATAATTGATAACTCCTCTCTCCAAATATGACCCTTTTGTTTTTTTCCCCAATATTTGCTTTCATCAGCAACTACTGTTTTTCTGTCTGTGCTAAATGAGCGGGTTAACGGTTGCAGTACCAAGGTGAATTTAAATCTTCTTGAACCTCACAAAGTAATATTTTAATTCATTAAAACACAGTCAGCACCATTGGCTTATAATAAAACATTACATATTTATACTGTTTCTAATTCTTAATCACAATCCCTGTAGGCTCCTTCAGCAGTGTGATAAAAGTATCTTTTCTGGATCTGAATTTTCTTTTGTAGTAAAACCAATAAAATCAAACGGGTTTCTAAATGCAGCACAATACATTCCCTCATTTGATCATAAGTGTCTTATTCCAAGACCTGCATACAAAAGGCTGATGCTGATGAAAACAAAGATTGAAAATAAAATTAAAACATGTCTAAACAACATCGTTCAACTTTTTAAAGAAATGTTTGACTTAACATTTTTTAAGTGAGGGTGATTTTATCTATCCTAAAACTAAGCCCAAAAACTTTTTCAACTAACAACACATTCTTCAACCCTCACAGCATAACTTGGTACAGTATGTACTGAAAACTTGAGGATGCAACCACTGAGGCTTCTTTAGCTGGAGAAAATAACCTATTTTTCCAATAATACTGAAACTCCCTTTAGTACTGTTGTTGCCCTCTGGTCATGATTTCCATAAGTGTCATTTTGTAGAAACAGTAAATTTACAAATTTTTTTTTAAAAGTATGCACAGTAAAAGCAAAGCCATGATGTTTTAAAGTAGAGTTTTTCATTACATGATTATATCACAGCTTCTTTATAGGCAGGTTTTGCCAAAAAAAACTCACATTTTGACTTAAAAAATTGTCCAGTTCTCCAGAGAGACTTGCCTTTCTATGCTTGAGCTCCTTGAACCGTTGCTGCACACCGTACCTTCTCTGCTGTTGTGGGTCCCTGAGTGATTCCTCCACAGTCCCGTCTCAGTACATGGTCTCCGTGTCACGGATATTTCCAAAAGACAAACTAAAAGTGCTTCCTAGTTTCTTGGCGACACCGCCGCCTTCCCTCTTTTTCTTCCTGTTCCAGTTCAACAAGGAGCCGGAGCTCTGCCCCTTGGCCCCGCCCAGCAGCCTTTGGCGACTGTTTTCTTTGTCGCTGCTGAGGGACAACATTGCCGCCTTTCTCTCCACCTGCATGGACAAATGTGATTTATTCAATACGATTTATCTCTCAGATCTGCACTTGCTGTCAATCTGAGCACACAAATCGTCACATTTACCTGTGTGTCATGTGAGTGTAACGTCACCACACTGATCTCTACTTCTCTGTCACTGCTGCTCGTCAGCATGAGGACCACCTCCCCGTGTTTGGCCCACTTACAGTCTTGTCCATCCACTGCTACAATGTAGTCTCCCTCTCTTAGTCCTGCCTCCTGAACATCAAACAAAATAGAGAGAGAAAAAAAAAAAAATTATATATATATATATATATATATATATATATCACAACATTTATTTTTACATTCCCTGTAACAAATACCTAGTTTTTACTAGAAATTGACTTGTGTTTGAATGTTCAGTTGATCTGCCATGATCAATGACCAACAAGTAAGAAAACTGAACAATTTGATCTTTTTCCAATCAAACATAGGTTCTATCAAGTCATGGAAACTAAACTAAACTAACTAATTTTTTGCTGGAAAAACTAGATAGCATGAGCAAAATTCTGATTGGTGCATATACTATATATGTTTTTACATCATTTTCATCATCCTCATTTCTTACTTATTGTTCTGAAACTTTGTTCTTTATTTAATAAAAGTTGAACGTAGAGTCTGTTTTTTTCATTTCACTAGGGTTTTTCTGTGGTAAGGAATATAGCAGCCATTCAAACACTTGGTTCCTTTCAGTTCCATGTCCGATCGTTACTACATTATTTAAGCATCAAGAAATTCTCGTCAACACATTTTATGGATACAAATACTTTCCAGAGGATTCATCTTGTTTTTATTTAGCTCTTCTTAAGACTTGCATCCTTAGCACATGCAGTTAGTCTCACCTCTGCACAGCCTCCAGGTACGACTCCAGCAACCAGGACAGGGGAGTCCCCTCGGAGTGTGAGACCCATCCCACCTTCTCTTTTCTGCAGGCGGATCACACGTGGGGGGCCCCAGTGGGCCCTTGAGCAGAACACTGACAAGGGGCCCTGAAACACAGGAAGCAGTTCTGTCTGACTGTCATGTTTTGATTATTTCTAAATAAATATATACAGGGTCTCTCTAACGTGTCCACACCCTTGTTAAAAGATCCAGTTTTGTGACATGTGTCTGTCTCTATCAAATTTAAATGTAATGTCAATCCAAACCGACATTTATTATGTTGAGATCAACTGAAAACAAACTAATATGTTAAAAAAAAACTGAAGGGTTAAACATTTAACCCTTATTATTAGAGGGTTAAATGTTTGCCCTTATAATAATAGATCATTGAAGCATGTCATATCTTGACTTAGAAATATTTCCTCACTCTGCCTCCAAAAACTTCTCCAAAAATATCACACTGAGCTTATTTATTATCCACGTCCCTCTTCTGGCAACTTCATCAAATTTTGGTCAGACTTCGTTCTAAAGTCCAATTAAACCATTTCAAAAACCTAAATTTCACCTGGTTAAGCCAATCTTCAAGCTCTGTCTTCCAAGTTTGGGTCCAAATTGACTGATATGTTGTACTTGTCTTGCAAGTATGAATTATTACAAATTATTCAACACTTTTATTACAACTGTAGCCAAATAACAACTGCTTGCTACAAACTCTGGGGCTCTCATAACTCCCTTTGATATAAATGAAAAATTGTAGAGACAAATTATACACCTGATTCAAAAAAGTGGCAATTTGATGTCTCCCGTATCTAAAAAGAGGCTTTCTCTTCCTCACCAGTCTTTGAAAGATGTCAGAAACCTGGACTGTAGTGAAGCTTGGTGGAGTGATGTCTGGTTTCTGCTGAGTATGAGCTGCAAACATAAGAAGTCACACTTAATTATTTATGAATTGCTTAACTGCAACACTGCATTGCAGAAGTTCTCACCTTGTATCTCTGGGGCTTCTGCTGTTTCGTCAAAGTCGTCTTCGCGGTCCAGCTCCAAGTACTTCTCCAAGGAACGCTTGTGTGTTTGACACAGGACGTCCTGCAGGATGTCCATCTTCCTCAGGATCTTACACAGACTGTGGACACGCATGGCCTCCTCGTGCCTCATAACCGCACGCCGAAGGTGGGCTTTACCTTCATGTCAGCACAAACAATTTGAAAGTGAGTGATAAGTCTGCACTAGGATGTAATTCCTGCTGAGAGCAGATTTCTGAAACATGTAGCCTCACCGAGCTTTCGCCTTTTTTCAGGATCCTGCAGGATCTGGCTGAGAGTTTGTCCTGAAGCAATATTGACATAAAACTTGAGGAAGGCCTTGTCTGACTCCTTATCACACTCTTCTCCATCAAAAGATACTAAAGGAGGAAATAATACACCAAGTTAAGTTCGGATGCGTTGTCGGAACCAGGTGTGGCGGGATTGTGAAGTGATGCGCTTCAGTGACATCGTCAGAGAGGAACAAGAAAAGTTCTCTGTCTTTTTACACAATGTTAGTATCACAAAACCTACATTTCAAAAAATTCTAAACATCAGTAATATTTAACGCTCCTATTCTACCTGAATACACTTATGCTGATGAACATTCATTATGTTTTTCAGGTTTATATATTAAATGGATGAACTCCTCAATAAAAAGTGATTTAAGTCGAGGCCAACACAACTAAACTAAATAACAATCTTGGTATCTCCTTACCTGTGTGGTCACAGAGCGCAGCAGCAGCGTAATAGTGGGAAAGAGCACGGAAGTGTTCAGATTTGACTTGAACCATGGAGGCCCATGAAAATGGCACATAGTCCTTCATCAGGGGTTGCGTCATCGTCTGGTGCACCAGCGAGTAAACATCCGACACCTGCAGAACACAGAGTAAAGAAAGTGTATGCTGCAAAGGAAACAAACTGGCAAATTACATTCTTAAGCAAAATTAGCTGAATAAATCTTGATTGTGTTTTCAAATTATTGAAGGCCCAAAGTCTTTTTATTACACGTAAAGATTATTTCTGTTTCTTCCGGTGTGGAAATGCATCCACCAACGGGATGTTCTCTGAAGCTCTTTGAGTTCACAAAGCAGCAGGTGAAGGTCGTGAACGTGTGCTTTGACACAAAGTTTTCTACAAGATTCAAAACACTGATAGTGTTCATTGAATGTTAACACAAAAAGCAAAGTTAACTCACCTGTGCAGCTTCTTGTGCCAGCTGGAGTTGGGAGGTAAACTTAGTGTCCCGGGTGGTGATTGTGATGCGTTCAAACACACACTCCTGCACCTGAGCAACCATTAGGCGAACCAGCATGCTGAGAGACAGAGCGCTCATGTCCAGACTTGGAGCGTTGGAGAAGTTCTCCTTAAGGTAATTAAATGCACCTAAATGGACAACGAAGGCAGCACCTCAGAATGTGAAACATCAGATTAAAGATTTTTGCACAACAGCGGAAAAAACAGAAAAATAATCAGATTTAAGTCTCTGTCATGGTTTGGATCTTCTATGATTAAACAAACATTTGATACTGAAAATATGTGCTGGAGCAGAAGGAACATCGAATTCTCCCTAAAATTACCTCGACTGTGGGATTGTGAACAACGGCGCACAATAACATACAATGGTGTTAAATGTATTCTTTTACGAAAACATACTTATGTCTTATTCGTGACATATTCATGTTTTGGAAAAAATAAGATAAAAACTTGCAGTAATAAAAATGTTTCATCTCTTGTTTAAAAATGTAATTTAAATTTAATCAGATGTATCATTGATAACACTGGTAACTTATCAATCAATTGCTCAATTAAGTCTTATAATAATATTCAATTAATTAAAACTATTTATTTAATCTATATATTGATAATCCTAATGATTGTCTACATGTAATGGAACAGAAAACTGTTTAGGCATTAAACTAAAATTAGATCTAAGGTTAAAGAGAAAAATAAAATGCAGTTTCAGTGGAAGATTACTCAGAGCAACTGCAGAGATTCTCCCATTGCGCCTCTAATACACAAGTCTCACAAAACAATTGAATGAAATATCTGAGGTGTTTTTGTAAACGTGAGCTCTGTCAGCACCTGCAGCTCGCTGAAAGGCGTCTACGGCCTTGTCGATGCCGGCTGTAGCGGCGCGATCCTGCCGCGCTCCGATCTGCGTGTGCAGGGCTCCGATGTTGAACAGCACGCTTCCCTTCTCAAAAGCCAGCGCACGCTGGGACGATGGGACCCCCGTCAGAGAGTCGTACCTGAGGGATTATTTAAACGGAAGACTTGTTACCTTTTTAGGATAATAGGGAGTTTGCATTAATTTAAATGAATACCTAAAGAGTGCAAAATTAAAAGATATTACGTCCACTTCTGGCTGGTACTCTATGGTCATATTAATGGTAATCGCCTTAAAGGTGAGGCATAAGTGAGGATAATTTCCCAGATTTTTAATGAGAGCGAACATGTTGTACCAGTGAAAGTGAACGCCCAGGTTCCTGTGTGAGGAGAAGAAGCGCTGGTCCAGATAGTACAGCTGATTGTAGTACTCCATCAGCAGTTCTAGCCCAGCCTGGCTCCGACTGGGTGTGCGCATCGCCTGACAAACAAACAAACAAACAAAAAAACTGAATTGTAACAGATATGCAAAATCCCTGCTAATGTCCATCACTGTTGATCATTGGGTGTTTTTCAATTTCATGGAAGCAAATCCAGTATTGAACCTCTGGGATGTCTGCTGTGTATAAAGCTGTGATGGTGCTTTTATGAACCTGTCTGAGTTCAATCAGCTCTTTGATCTCCTTGTCATACAGACTGCTGTCCTCGCCGTAGTGCTCACAGATGAAATCCTACAACAGAGGAGAGATAAAAGAAACTCATTGTTTTTTTGTGTGAACAAGCAGTTTTATATGCCTTCAACACGCAAAAGAAGATTCTGTGCCGCACAAATTTCAGCTGTCCTTAGATAAACGACAAAAAAAAGATACTCTTGTTGCTGCACATTCTTGACTTAATATATCAACCCTGAAACAGTTCTTGTTGCATTAAACACAGTAAGAAGAATCTTTCATGAAGAGGGAAAATGATGCACTTTTGCAGTTTTATGTAGAGATAAAAAAAACAAAAAAAAAAAAAAAAAGAAAACAGCCTTCTTAAGTTTAGGCTTCTTTCTTTGTTTCAGGTAAAATATTAATATTAATTTAAGTTGAAAACTTATCTGTCACGTTAGACTGGCTGTGATGTGCTTTGAGTGTGTTAAAACAAATATAACTTTTAATAGCACAAATATTAGAAGGTATTTGGTATGAAGGTGTGTTTATTCTTAGACGATTGACTGAACACCAAACATCTGTATTTTTCAAAGTGAATGTTGACAAAATGATCAAAGTTCCTCCTATTTATTATGGCAAGCAGGTTATGGA